GCAATTATTTGCTTTTTCCCAAAGAAAAGTAATAATTCTTATATATTGAACACTACATTCACGAAAAATATTGAAAAAGAATACAAAAAAATAAAACCCTTGACCGGTATCGCAGTTTTAAAAATTAATCTTCTGCCAGTATCGATCCCCAGACCCTATGCTTACTACCCCGTCGCGCTTCCAACCACGCTATGCCTAACAAACTGCTGCCGCGAATATCAAGCTTAAAGAACTTTAAATCGGGTACCTAATGGAACATATTATGGGCCATTGTATGCCCCCTGATATGTCTGTAAAAATTCTCTTTAGTACGATTGTTTAGTATATTAAACTCCAAACTCTTGCCGAGTTTGAGAATTATAAGTTAATATTAAAGGAAGATACTGGGCGATTCGTATGCGTGTCTGCGGAGCCGAAATTTACCCGTTTTTTAGCAATTATTTGCTTTTTCCCAAAGAAAAATAATAATTCTTATATATTGAACACTTCATTCACATAAAAATATTGAAAAAGATATCAAAAAAATAATATGGAATAAATAAATAAAATTTAACCCTTGACCGGTATCGCAGTTTTAGAAATTAATCTTCAGCCAGTATCGATCCCCAGACCCTTTGCTTACTACCCCGTCGCGCTTCCAACCACGCTATGCCTCACTCTCTGCTGCCGCGAATATCAAGCTTAAAGCCATTTGGCATCATTGTGTTTTGAGATTTTTGCAAACAATGCAATTTTTGCAAACTTATTACTTATGTTTACAATGCTAACAATACTTGTGTTTACAATACTAAAAGTGTTAACACTAACGTAAGATGGTGCACAGCTTGCAACAGGAACAAACAGTAATAAACAAATGGAAAGATGTCAAATCAAGACTGCCAAAAAAGCGAGTTATTCAAAATCTAGCAACCATGTCACCTTTTTTAATAATANCTCGTAAAAATATGGAAAAAGATATCTAAAAAATATTATAGAATAAATAAATAAAAATTAACCCTTGACCGGTATTGTAATATCTTATGAAAGATGGCAGATTTGAGCTCAGAAATTATCTAATCTATTTCTTTTATTGAAAACAAAATTATCCGTTTGAAAACATCGCCAATCAGAATAACATGTAGTAAGAAGCTGCAAACTTTTTAACCGGAACTAGAGTAGGTCCCGAGCTCGAGATTGTTATTGTTTACATTTCTATTGAAATCACCATCCATTGTAACATTTGGAAAAAATTGCATAAAAATTATTTTGCATTACAATCCTAAAAAGGACGGCTGTAAAATTAAGATTATAAAGTAAAATTACAGGACCACACAGCTAATTTCGTGAAACTAAATATGATTAAACATTTTGTATGAGGGCATTTAAAGAGGATTTAAAAAGCTGTTGAGATAGTTGTTGTTGTAGTTCATTTGCGACGCACTAGAGCTGCACAATGGGCTATTGGCGACGGTCTGGGAAACATCCTTAAAGATGATCCGAAGACATGCCATCACAATTTTTGATCCTCTGCCGAGGGGATGGAGCTTCGGTAGTTCGGCGACCAGCGCGCGAAGTCGAGCACTTTACGGTAGAACAGTTTAACGAGGATCAATACCACACACCGTTGGTCCCTACACAAACTGATCCAAGTGGGCTCCCACCAGCACACTGACCGCAGCCAGTAATGCTTGACTTCAGTGAGCTGCTGGGACCCATCGTAAATCACATTCAGTGAGTATTTTTTTTAATGACGCATTTTCACTGCATGTGGTTTGCGTTCTTTCGATCACCGTCAAAAGAAGATTGGTCAAAATTACTTTCCCTCGAAAAACTCGCAATTAGGGCCTCCATTTTTCTCGATGTTGATCGGAAATAAATCGTTAATTGTATTCCCTGCTCGCGCTTACGTAATTGCTTCGTTAATTGAACTGCTCGTTCGAACATGATGTGCATTTAAGTTCGATTGCACATGCAAATTATATGCAGTGAGAATGCTCCATAAAGTGGCTCTTGAAGTTAAACGTTGACAACAATTTTGTATAATTTTATGGACCTTGATCTGAACTGAAATAGGTATTTTTTTAATGTGTTTTTCGATAATTTAAGAGGTTCTATATAGAAAAAAAAATTTCCTTCGAGAAATAGCGAATAATGGGTGAAAAACGGAAAAATAAGGGATATTTTATTTAGTTTATTTTATGTTAGGAAATGATCTGTCGACAAAATGACCTAGTCTATGAAACGACGGTCTGTAGATGAAGTGATTGCCGATGAAATGAACCTTACCCCCAAACTCCAATCCCTCTGACCATTTACTGTATTTTTCTGCTAGCTACCAGATCGTCGGGTTACCAAAGCATGGGAGCCATCCCCTTTGCAGAGGATCAAACTTGCGATGGCAAATCTTCGGATCATCCTTAGGGATGTTTGACAGGCTGTCGCCAATAGCTCATTGTGCAGCTCTAGTACGACGTAAATAAAGTACCTACCTATCTGCTAGCTATCAAGCCTTAATCATAAGTTTCATTAATAGAAGCACAAAGCTATAAGCTAACGCAACGAGTTCGTTGCACTTTTCTATAATCCACATTCTAACCAACAGAAGAAAAAAATCTCTTCTAAGAAAAACCTGCGATTTTTTTTCTTCTATATTTGCGAAACAGTTGTGTAATAAGATGGATCAGAAACATCAGTTCATCGGTATTTGTCAATCCCCATCCTAAATTTCCTTTCATATTAATTTATTGTAATTTTTTTTTTGTATTTTATTTTGCCTGATCTAGAATTGTCAACTCAAATTTTATTCATTCATTGAAATGAATTATGTCAGTCCTTCGATTGGTTCTTCTGTTATGCATTGGCTTTTCAAAGAAGATGTCTTTTTAGCATAAAGTTATGTTTTGAAAAATGTTAAAAATAGACTTATAAATGCTGACGCATAACTTATGTCATATTCTGAGTTCAATTTATTGCTGCTAACCAAATAGATAATCGGATAAATTTCCGTATTGAGGGCCAACTGCAATCGCTAATTGAATTTTTTGAAAAAATTGTAGAGGTTTCTCTTTGGATGTGTACGAGTTATATCCTTCTGTTATTTGTAATTAGGATAAAACTGTAATAAGAGTTATTAAGTTTTATTAAAAGAGATAATAAAATAAAGTGTTTACTAACTCTAATTAATCCCTCTTCCTCTTTGAATTATTTCAGTTATCAGCTGTTTTTAATGTTCTGTTATTATCATGCTTTTGATATCAATCATTCAAAATTAAATGCTTAAAACTGAAAGTGTTGTTCCTTCATTATTCTCCATAAGTGTTTTTAGAGGGGTGGTCAGTTTGCTTGCTGTTTTACAGAGGTAAATGCACCCTCCTTGCCCTTTTTGTAAAAATGTTGTTCTCGTTTTATTTATTTTTATTTTTTTTAGAAATTCTTTTAAAATTTATTTTCTTTTTATTTTAAAGAAAGAGAGTGTAGTAGCAGGAACCAGAAGCTTCAAATTATCATAACTACTGAAAATTGTTTTTCTTCTAAATTAATGTGTATAAAATATTATTTGAATTCCGTTTTTAAGACCTCTTAAATTACCTAAATATAGTTGATATAATTTGGAAGATTAGTACCCTTCAAAACGGAAGATGCCTTTGTTTTTTGAAAAAGCACCCTGCCTTTTTTTATTTTTGGGAAATTTCTGGTTATTCTATTATGTCATGAACTAATAAAATAAAAAACAGCTTTAAAAATAAATTATGAGATGTTAAATGCAAGTTGTCTCATTACCTTTTTATTATATTCTGAACTTTTAAATCCCTAATTTGTTCTTAATACTGGGCTTTCTATTCTAAAAATATGTAGAGTATTTTTATTTTTTTGAAAAGCACATGTTATAGATGATATTATAGGTCTTGGGCATGATGGAATTATTTCCAAATCCCTGTTATGGTCAGTTGAAACTGTCAAAAATTCTTAGTTTGTGAGGTTAAATTTTATGTTTATTGAGAACATTAAAAACAAGTGCATTTGAATTTTAAATCGATTCTAAAAAAATTATTTTTTGAAAATTCTAACTAGATTTACTGTTTTTAGAGCACAAGATCAAAACTCTAAATTTAGCCTCTTCTGCTGCAAGTTCTATGGCCTATGACAGTATTGGTAAGTGTAGTATGTCTGTTATATGTAATATTTAAAAATATGTAATATGTTACTGTAATATGTAAAAAATTATGTCTGTTGTTATTTTATAATAAAATGATTCATTTTAACTTAATTAAATGACTTGTCACCATTAAAAATTTTAACATCAAATTAAATATGATCAACATTTTATTTGCTGAAAAGTCAAAAATGAAAATTCAATTTTATTTCTAGCAAAGAGGGAAATATTCAGCATTAATGAATTAAAGGTGGTTAATGGCTGTTTGCAAAAAAAGACCAACTATTGCACGTTAGACAATTTAATGCTAAAAGATATTTTAGCGTTAAGTATTGGATCTACAGTTGCATTTATTGTATTTGCAAGTTTTAGTAGCATTTCTTTGCAACCAAGATTAGTAGTTAATTACAATTTAGAGAGACAGCAAGGTTCGTGAACTTTTTGATTTTTTTTAAAAAATAAAAAAAAATCAGATTTTTTTGATTTAAATCAGATTTTGATTTTTATTCAAATACACTATAAGAAATTTTATTTATGACTAAAAAAACTTTATAAATGTTCCATCAAAATTAAATTAATATTAAAACTATATTATAAGAATATTTTAGAAGCTCTAACTACCTAAAGCAATTTTTTCATTATAATACTTAGCTTTGAATGCATAGCTACCATTTTGAAGCAAATGCATGATTGAAATTTAAAGACTAGATGAAATAGAGAATTTAAAGAATACTTTAACTATTAGAACAAAGTTTCAATTACCAAACCATAATTTTAATTTAAAATTGTGATTTCTTTTTTCTTCTCTTGGTTTTTAAAATGACAAAATAAATGTAACAGATTGTGTTTATAAATGTAGTCATTCATCAAAAAATAAATCAATGTTTAATCTATATATTTTTATATTAAAATATTCATTTTTAATCCTATATCAAAATAGATAAGTTAAGCTAAGAAAAAATATTTAAGAAAAATCTATGTATGAAATTTTTTTTCTCACAAAATTTCTTTTTGGAAAATCGGATATTGTCAAAGGTACTGTAAACATAATATGAGAAAAAATACTTAAATGTTTACTTTAATCTGTGCTTTCAATCTCAAGAATCAAAAGATTTTTGAAAATGTAATTTCAAATGTGTTGGAATTTAACACATACCGAGAAAATTGTAGAAAGTAGTAAAAAGAGAAAGTAATTTCATTAGCTGAAATTAATTAATGCAACAATAATAAATTTTAAAATTAATGCAGAAATTTATTTAAAATAAATTTTAAAACTAAGAAAAGAAATAAAAGTATCAATAATTTAAAACACTGTTTTTTAACTTTTTAAATCAATGGGGTGACACGGGGTAATTCACAATCACTCTGTTTCTGGGGTAAATAATGATCACTTAAGTTTTATTTAATTTTTTTTTTTTAAATTTGAGACATTGACAAGAATGCTTATACATTTTACTAAAGTATAACTACATTTACTTAATAATAGTTTTTTGTTTAATCTAGCAAAATAAGTATCTTTTAACCCCTTAACTGCCGAGTAAAATTAACGTGATTCACTCCCCAGTGCCACCGTTTTTCGCTCAAGTGCACTTTCTTACACGGTGTTTTGGTGGGGAAAAATGATGCACTCTGCAATTTAAAAACAGTTTAATTTAACAAGACAAGAAAAAGGAACAAAATTTAAATTAAATAATGAAAATACAATATAAAAGTTGTTAAAACTTAGCTGTTGTATGATAATTCCTGAAACATGATTGGACACATAAACCATCATCACATTCATCGCACTGATAGCGGGATTCACGCCTAATTTTTTTTCTTGAACAAACAGCACATTTTTGCGATGCATTTTTCTTTGAAAACGTTAATGGAAAGAATAAAAAGCACCAAATACATTCGGGAAACAAAAGCGAAAAAAGAATAAACCCGACCTTACTCAAATAAATACACACAAGCGATTAATACGATATCACTTTTCCATAACATCCTTTTCCCATTCCCCCTCCTCCGAAATTAGTAATACATTCGCAAAGCAAACACTTTCAAGGCCATTTTACTGCATTCTGAAGTAGGGGGTGTAGTTCTATTTATAGCAGCGCAATGCAAAGCATCGTACTTCGGGAAAGCGTATATATGCGCCTGCGGCAGTTAACGCATCGTCTGGCTGAGACGTATATATACGCCCGCGGCAGTTAAGGGGTTAAACTGCTTTCTGTATTTTCCATATCAAAGATGGGTTTTAAAATGTTAGATCCTCCTCCTTCTCTTAATAATAAATATTTTGAGTTACGTTCTTTTTCTTTGATATAAAAATAGTGTAAGCATTGTTTAACTGTTTCACATCTACTGTAAACTTTATGATTAATTATAGGAAACTATATCAAATGTTGCCCCCTACACATGGGGTAATTATTGATCACTGGGGTAATTCCTGATCATTGTAATTTTTTCCTATAAATAGTATAAAAAGTAGCTAATTGTCTTTTCTTAATTAACAGTTCATATTCATTAAGTGGAACAACTATAAAATATATTTTAACTGTAATCACAAAATTTGTTTTTAACTGTATACAAGACAAATGTGTTCTGATTTGCACCATTTCTGGTTTGTCTTACCTTGCTTCTATCTTAATTTTATGTGTGTACATTGTTAGAATAATTTTTAAGTTTATAAATTAGCCTAATATAAATATGGTGAGAAATTATAATCCTAAAAAGGATACTAAGTTTCCAGAAAGCAAAATTAGTGAATTTCTTTTAATGATTGAAAATGAAAATTTCAGTGTGAGAACTGCTGTCAGAGCTGTTGACATACCTTACTTAACTTACTTACCACTCTCACTTAATGAAGTTAAAAAATCCAGCAAAAGTAACCTATGTGGGAACTCTTTCTTATATTTCAGCAGAACATGAGAATGAGTTGGTTGCTTGCCTAAAACGTATGGCACTGTGCAAAGATTTTTGGAAAATTTAAAGTGTTAATCTTTATTCTTGCTCTTAAATAAGTCGTTTTATTAGCTGCTTAAACATATCTCTTTGGTTTATTTGTTTGATCTTGATGTCTTATTTGTTAATTAACTTTGTATAATTATTTTTAAACAGTCCCTTTACTATAAAAACTGGTGATCAGGAATTACCCCAGAAATGATCAGGAGAAGGGCAATTCCTGATCACTAAAAATTTAAAATCTTTTAAATTCTAATTAGATTTTCAAACAAAAGAAGGTAGCATAAGACTCATCTCATATAGCCTCAAACTTCCAGTAAATATTAAAATTCTATCTTGAATAGTTTTTTCACGAAATAGATATTTACATTTTTTGATCAGGAATTACCCCAGGTCTCCCTATATATATATTTAAAAAAATCATTTGATTTAAATCAATGATTTTTTTTAAAAAAATCATTTGATTTAAATCAATGATTTTTTTTAAAAAAATCATTTGATTTAAATCATGATTTAAATCAAGCTGATTTAAATCAACAAATAATAAAATTTACTCTTATTTAGGAAATACTATATATATAAGTTCAAAACGTAGAGAAAACATGGAAAAATTACAGAACAATGAAAAAAAGGAAAAGGAAAAATAATAATAAAAAAAATCTAAAAAAGAAAGAAAAGAAAAGAAAAATCAAGAAAATAAAAGATATAATCTTTTTATCAGCTCACACGATTATATGCGGAAAAATATTTATTTCTTTTTTCGCATCTTTTATTTTCTGGATTTTTATTAATTTACTTCCTTTTTTCTGGATTTTTTTTATTATTTTTCTTTTTCTCTTTTTTCATTGTTCTGTAATTTTTCCATGTTTTCTCTACATTTTGAACTTATTTTATGAGTTCTATTTACTTCCAGCTTGTGCGCAGTGAATAAAACTGATTGTTTTTCTTAATTTTCTCCATTTTTTTATCTTTTTGTATTTATCTATTATGCTATACATATATATATTATCGAACATAACATAACATATTGAAAAGATAATTTAGCGAATATTATATATAAGGATAGTTATATTAAATACAATATTACTCTGAGTGTTAATAATTTTATGTAGTTAACAAAAATATTGACCACTTTGAAAATGCTATAAATGAACTGAATTTAGAAGCATCACAGTGTATCGATATTTTTGACAATACAGAGTGATATTAAAATTCGTTCTTATTGATTATAGAGATCAATGTTTGTGCTGGCAATAACTAAGAAAAGCAATTGCCAGCTCATGCAATTGCTCTATTAGCAATTACTGTTCTAAAGATCAAATAGTACTTGAAAATAAATATTGAAAAAGAAATGCAAGTAAATATTTACGAGCTTTATTTTTTGATTTGAAAAGTTATGTATAATGAGAAACAAGCTTACCCATCCTACTAAATGAATTCGATATTCCCTCTTTCTCTTTACTTATATTATCTTCATATCTTCTTTTTGATAATAATTACAATGTATATGAGTAGGTTTTTAGTTTGAGTTTTAAAACCTGCGTTTAAATTCTCACCACTTATTTTTATACCTCTAGTTTCATGGTCTTAAATTAATGAAACATAAATTATGTGTAAATATTATATGATAACAGTGTTGTGAGACAATTTTAAATTTCATAAGAGTATTTATTGTGACTTGGAAAAGTGCTTTTCCTTGTAAGGTTATTACCAGAGATGATTGTGCTCCGGAAAACACCAGGATTTTTGGATTTTCAGCTAATTACGATCCAGAAATCCAAGGTCCAGAAATTTCAAGAAATCATTGATTGCATCAGTATAAAAATTCTTGTCTATTTTATTTGAAAATATTAGAACAAGAATTTATACTTGGCATCTCTTTCATTTGTGAATATTTTTTCTGATAGAATGATAAATGTAATTAAACATAAAACTAAACTTATACATAATTATCCATTTCAATTACGCTGCATGTAATATATTTGGAATTTAATTTTTTGAAAATATCAATGATTTCAATTTTAAAAAAACGTTAATTTTTTTAAATGCATCATTAATGATTTTTCTTAAGAAATTTTCTGGATTTTTGAGTTGGTCTCACAATCACCCTTGTTATTACTAACATAAAATATTTTCCCTTAATTTAATATTTATATATTTCTGCTTTTTTTTTTAGTTTCAGTTAGTAATTCAGCAGAGTATTATTACTCACTGCTTAGTTCTGCTCCAAGAGACAAAGAAGTTCAAAAACAATTGCAGCAGCAAAGATTGGTAACTATTATCTACCATATTTTCTACATCTGTTATCCACAAATATTTCATATTAGTTTTTTCGGAAATTAAATTTGCATTTTGATACGCACCGTTACAATAAACCTTTTTTCCTTCTTATTTTGAAGGAAGTTAACTCTTCACTCTATTTTATGCTAATGAGTTTTCTAAATATGCTCACAAATTAAATTTCTATCTCAATTTGTCTAGTGCAGTAGTGACTGCTAAATAGTGATTTAAAAATAAGTAGTTTGATCAATTATAATTTCAAATTCATTGGATAAAAATTATTTTTGTGCAATAAATATTTTCCCCTTCTTATCCTAAAGGGATCTTTGCTACATTTTATATTAATGAGTTTTATACCAATGAGTTTTTTAAAATATGCTCACAAATTAAACTATTGTCTCAATTGTATTTTAATTAATATAATTTAAAGTTATTATAATGTTTAGTCATCTAAATCTACCATCCGGCCTGTGTAGAGATCAGGGAACTGGCCTCACATCAGAAAGGTTCTGGGTTTGAATCCTGGGCAAGGCGGGGATGTTCTTTCATTCTCTGTACTATCTGTTTTTAATGGGGGAGCAACATTGGCCCACCTAATATGGTGCCCCTAAAAAAGTGGCTAACAAATATGCCCTTCAGATGCCTGTATAACAACAGGTCATCTCCCAGACGGGCATTGGGGAAAAAAAATCATTTAAATTGACTTCATAATTTGAAGGGCGAGACAGGATGCATAGCGTTTTTAAAAGTGCTTAAAGGTGCTTATTTTTGATTTCCGTTTTTTAAAAGCCCTTAAATGTGCTTTTTTTATTTGGGTTTGCCAAGAGTGTTTATTTTTATATCTTTTAAAAAGATTTTTTTTTTTTTGCTGTGTCAATTGTCGTTCTAAATTACAAAAAATTCATGATTTTCACAATTTTCTGTGCAATATTTATCATAAACTAGTTACTTTATTATGATTATGTAAAGTTTTTGAAAATGTTTTGAATTCTATTGTTTTTATGCTTTATAAGTTAAGAACTTTGAACTATAGAAAAAATTTTTTATTGGTGCACAGTTCTCAATTATGATTTTTTTTCGAAAGTGATTTCAAATATTTTTTTGAGTGCTTAAAAGGTGGATATTTTTTGTTGAAAAATCTGACTATGTGCCCTGAGATAATTTTTACTTAATTTTTTTTTTCAGTCGTTATAAAAAATAATTTTAAAATTGTGAACCATTGATGATCATATATTTTTGAAAAGTAAAGTTTTATTTTATTTTAGAAATTTGTACTGGATGAATTACAAAGAGAAAGAGAAGATTCTTCATTTTCCAGAAACTGCTTATTTTGCTCTAAACATTTTACAGGAAACAAGTTAGTTCTTTTAAAAATTTATTATGCATTTTTTTTCTCTCATAACTTGAAATTAACTAATAAAATAAATAAATAAGGAAGTAAACAGTGAAAAATATTGTGGGGGTTAGAGTAGTTATCAACAATGTCAACCTTCATCTATGTAAAGGTACCCCGCTATAGAATCGAGTTAACATGTGCTAGTGGACATGTACATGTATACTAGTGATTTGGTATTTTGTAAAGGGGTAGATACACTACAAATATGTCAACCAAAGCTGACGTCGTCACGGGTTACCAGCCCTGGAAGTCAAATGCAAAACCTTTTCTATTGAGAGAGCACCACAAATGTCTAAATTGCTCTCTCTGTACCCCAAAGGTTTTGCCAAATGTCCAGGTAGAGAGAAGATAATATACAAATTACAGAAACCAATTGCATAAGTATAATACTTAAACTAATGCAAAAGAAAACAATGTTCAAAAACTTACTTCAAAATAATAAATCCTAAAACCAAAGAACACAACTCACTACACATTTTCAAATAAAATTAAGTTAATGAAAAAACAATGCCCACTAATTTAATGCGCAGAAGGAAGAAAAGAAAAAGAGCATTTTTAAAAAGTGCTTAAAAGTGCCTGTTTTCGATTTTCATTTTTTAAAATCCTTTAAAGGAGCTTTTTTTCATTGGGTGTTTTTAAAAAGTGCTTAATTTTCCCTTTTCGAAAATGATATTTTTTTTCTTTGCCATGTCAATTTTCCCCTCGTATTATGAGCTGGATGCGATTATTAAGTTTGGTGAGATTATTGCACTCTCATGTGTAACTCTACTGCATTCTGCAAGTAGATATTCTCAATGTCAGGCTTCATTTTCCACCCTCTGATATCGAACTGAGAAATCTCTTGATCATTTTATAATGGCTAATTTAATCAAGAAAAGAGTTCTTTGTCAGAAACTAGTTATTTTATCATGATCATGTAAAGTGTTTGAAAATTATTTTGCATTTTGTTAATGTATATAGTGCTTGAAAATGTTTTTTTAGTGCTTAAAAAGTACTTAAAATGTGCTTATTTTTTGTTGAGAGATTTGGCTATGCACCCTGTATAACTTACTAGTACTCTACATATAAAGTAAAAATTCCATACTCCACATGTAAAATAAAATTTGAGGAACAATGTCAAAATAATTGGCAAAAGTCTTTCAAAAAAATATCAATCAGAGATTTATTGAACTAATTTTATAATTTTGTAGAGAATATAATGTGCTGTAATATAAATTTGTGTTACATTATATTTGCGAAATTTTCTATGCGTGTTCCTTTTTTTTTTCTTTTTTTGACACATACTAGCATTTTTCTCTTACAGGACTGTTATTCTTGACCATCTCAGGGATCAGCATAATTTTGTTATTGGAGCTCCAGATAATATTGGTTTGTGAATTCATTTACCTTCCTTTAAATTAAATTAATCACATTTTGTTTAGACAAACAGTTTCTCTCTCTTTTATAATGCTAAAAACAGAGAAAAACTTATTTGTCGTGAAGAAAAACAACCAGATTTTTTATTTTGAACAAGGTTTGAGATTAAAGAGTGAATAGTTTTTTTTATTTAGAGTATCTGCCCACCTGGAAAGTCATGAGAAATCATGGAAAGTCATGGATTTTGATATTGAACAAAATTTGTCATGAAATGTCATGATTTTAACAATTTTTTAAAAAACAATTTGTAAAAAAATCATGGAAAGTCATGTATTTAGGTCGCCCGAAAATCTAATTTTTAAAATGAAATTTACCCCTCCCACCCACCCAATTTCATGGTGTTTCGAATATCTGAATTTGTAACAAAATCCCCACTCACGGTCATATTTTATTAAAATGTAAAATCTTTTNCCCTGGTCATGTATTTAGGTCGCCCAAAAATCTAATTTTTAAAATGGAATTTACCCCTCCCACCCACCCAATTTCATGGTGTTTCGAATATCTGAATTTGTAACGAAATCCCCACTCACGGTCATATTTTATTAAAATGTAAAATCTTTTTATCTTGTTCTTTAAAATATATGGTGTTCTTTCAAAAAAATGAAAGAAAAAGCATTATTTCTAGAGCAAATTATCTTTTAAACTTCTGTGATTTCAGAATTTTCTTATTATTTATTTTTGTATTTTATAAATTTAAAATTCCAACTGAAGCAAGCCAGTCATTCGCGTATTCGAAATGAGAAACAGAAAAATCAGTTGTATTTCTTTCCTTTCCGATGAACAAGAAAAGTATCTTTAGAATATAATTTTGCAGGAAAATTTTTTTTCTGCTTTTGTATTTTTTTAATTTTAAAATCTATAAATATGAAGATACAGAGTATAAGTTTTGGTTATACCTTTGGTTATATACATTTCAATGAATACCTATCATTTCAATGTTATTGTTCTTTTTTTGTTGGAGAAAATAGTAAGTCGTGAAAAATTCTTGGGATTAGTCATGGAAAGTCATGGATTTTAAAATCTAAAATGTAGCTGATATCCTGTTTATTACTTTCATTTAAAATGTCTTCAATAAAATTTACCTTGTTTTTCTTTTCTTCTTTTAGTGTTCATAAAAGAGTACTTGGACCACTTAGAGACATTATTAAAAAGGTTTATATCTATTTTCTTATTAAAATGAACTTTTTTGTTACTGTCCTGCTTATTATATATTTTATATGATTGTATATCATTACATTATATATTTCATAATCATTTATTCATGTAATTATTTCATTATTATATTATTCATATGATATTATATATTTCATGTGATTGTATAAGATTTAAGAACTATATATTCTTATTATACTCTCGCACTAGTAGAAAAACATTGAATTTGCAACTGTATGATCAAAACAAAATCAATGTAGTTGCCCTCCTTTAAAAAAAATGGTTTTTAGAATTGTAGCCACATTTTTGGCAAAGCTATTACAAGATTAGGCTTAAAATATATAGAAGAGTGTAAAAAAGAATTTTCTGATAGGTTTTATTATTTTTGAACATTTCTATTAATACGTTTCTGTTTGTGCGTATCAGTCAAATTTCAAACACTTCAATTTCCAATTTACAACTCAAATCTCTACTGAACCAAATGCCTGATGATAATGCAAGTTTTAATTATTTCCTGTCTATTTAAGCAAGCAAAATTTATCACAAAATTATTGCAAAAGGAAATTTATTGTTGATAAAAACTTGTATGACTTCCTTGTGGGCTAGAGCACCCAAAGTTTAGTTGGAGTTCTTGACCAAATAGCAATAGAAGTTTTTTTTTATTTTCTTATTATTTCCATTACAAATGGAATTTATTATGATATTATACCCTAAGGGAATTTATCATCAATTAAAGTTCTGGCCACTTTCTGATAATCTAAGGGGCTCAAATCTGAAATGAAACTCAATATTTGATCACAATACAAATTTCAATTGATCCCTGACTAATTACTGACAGAAAATTATTGCCAAATTTATCATCACTCAAAATTTTAAACACTTTCCAGCCAGCTAGAGTGCATAAATTTCTGCTAGTGTTCTATGTCTGTTGGTAATAGAAGTTTTGATCTTTTTTCTTAATCTAATCTATCAAAATTTATTTCAATTTTATTCTTCATCAAAATTTTTACCTCATTTCTGTTAATAACTTATTCAGCAAGAAAATTCAATTCTTTCTTCAGACCATGTACAATTATTTTTATATTGATAGGAATCTCTGAGACAGAATTTGTTTCATAATTGAATCTGATTCATTTATTATAAAGGTTATAATAAATTTTTATTGTGTTAAAGCTTATATAAACACACAATATACCTATAAAATACCTTTTAATCATTTACAGTATTATTATAGAATATTTAAAACACACTGTAAAATACCTTTTAACCTTTTGCAATTATTGCTTGCAAAACATTTAAAATTATCTGTAAAATTTGGTTAAAAAAATTCAGATTTTAATGATTAGAATTGTTTAACTTAAGACAGAAGAATTGTTTAACGTAAAATCATGAAATTTACATTCTAGCAATGTTCAAAATTTTGCACCCTACAGATCAGCAATGTCTAAATTTTACAACCTACTGATCTGAGGAATTAATTACTTAATTAATAATCTTTAAAACTGTTTGATGTCTTTTAATCTATATGTAGTAAAAAAAAATTGTTTTAAATTTGAAATTGTTTAAATTTATCTGTAGTTTATATTATTATTAACACTTTTTGTGAAGTGCCTTAGCATAATTTTAATTAAGATTTCTGTTCTAAGTGTTATTTTAATTTTTGTAGTTTGCAATGCTTTTACTGTGAAAAAGTCTTTAAGGATCTTATGACCTTGAAGGAGCATATGAGAAAGAAACAACACAAGAGAGTCAATCCCCAAAATCAGTTTTATGACAAATTTTATGTTATTAACTATTTGGTAATTTGTTATTCTTTTTTTTTCTTGACCTATAATAACTGTTCATTATCATAATTAATTCTAGCTTTGATTTTTAAAGGAACTGGGAAAAACGTGGGTTGACATACAAGAAGAAGACGATAGATTTTATCAAGATGGAAATGAAAAGTAGGCTTGATAATTTTTGATGTTTTTATTATTTGTTAAATTTTTATACTTCTTAGAATTTGCAGGCTCAACATACCAAATGAATTTTATGTTATAACTACTGAATTAATTGAAATCAAGTTTGTGGTGATTTAGTCATATTGAAATAAGTCTTTTTAGTTTCACTAAAGAAATTTTTAAACATGTTTATTTTTTCCCATAACTGTTTTATTTTTTCCCTTTCATGTGAATAGTACAGTACTTTTTTTTTTGGATTTTAAAATGTGTACTTCTAAAATTTCTGTTATTAAGAATTAATTTTTTTTCAGGATAAGTGTATCTTTCATTTTATGTTATGATGAAACAAATAGAAATAGAATTACACTAAATATGTAAATTAGACATTGTGATGATGACATGTCAGTTTTATTGCAGTTGTGGTTTATAATTACCTAGAATCATGATAACTTGCAAAAATGATTATTTAAAATTGTAGATTATAAGTTTGTAAGCAATATTTCATGGTATCATGATTACAGCCATAATTACAGCTGTATAATTAGTAGTATTCATAATTAAAGTTGTATGATTACTAGTAATCCTAATTGCAGTTGTATAAGTACTTTTTCGTGATTATAGTTGTTTAACTACTTTTGTCAATAATTACAGTTGTATAATAATTTGTAATTATGATTAGCTTTATTCATAAATTTTGTTTACTTATAACTTTTGATAACTTATACCTATATATTGATTACTTATTTTTATTGTAATTGCATATTATTTTTACTTTACAATTGCATTCTAACACTTTGTATTGTCTTGAAGTTTAGGCACAAAAGAAATTTTTTGTTTGGTTTTAAACTAATGTAATTTTTTCAATTTTTCAAAAAAAGTGTATGCTTTCGTTTTTCATTTACTTAATACATTGCATATAGGTCATGTACTTAAATATAATTTCTGATCTGAGACTTCAGTGCTGGTCATCTAAAATAGTAGGGGTTTTTTTTGGTGATAAATTTGAATTGATAAATAAGCATAGATGATTGTAATTGAATATCTCTCAATTATACCCGTTGGAATTTTTACTTCACACTTGTATATCAAAAATCAGCTTTCAAATATACTTTCTGTTGGGAGAATTCTGACCTCTAGTCATTGTAGCGAATTCTGATTCTTTAAATAATCATCTGTATAAAAATTGATGTATCTCGTATTGATGTATCTAGTCATCTGTATAAAATAGCTAAAAATGCTCTGTTCATGAAAATGATAGTGTATAAAATGGTAGTTTTAAAATCTCTTCACTATGATAAAATTGATAAGAAAAAGGTAGTAACCTTTTACCCTTACCTTTTTAAGGCGATGAGCTCGATGGCTGAAAATGAATTCTTTGATATTGATTAATCTGTGAATGAGTTAAACTAGCATCATTAACAAAACATCCTTTTAAGAAATGCAGAAATTTAATGATGCATATTGACAGAACATTTTTACAAGCTGTGAGGAAGGATAAAACTTCTTCCTCAGTTGAAGATATGCAAAGTGTAATCTTAAAAACGTAGTGTAATAAAACATAAAGTATAACTTTAATATTCAATTAATGTTTACACCTTGAAAAGATAGTCTTATGACATGAGAGTTTCAGCTCTCATAAACTTCTTGGTTATAAAAAGAAATATCAGAGATCATTTTATCCTACAAATATTGGATCCCTATCAAGAAAAAATTGCTGAAGTTTCAGATTTCTATTCTATTAATTATCATTTTTAAACAAATGAAGAAAAAAAGCATTTGCATTTAAACTCCAAAAAAAGGCATTTCTGTTAATTTTATGAAAATGTTTGAAAACTAAAAAATTATTATCATTGAAAAGCAAAAGAACTTGGATTCATATTTTAAACTCAAAGCATTTATACTCTACTTAATACAAAAACATGCACTCAGATATATACATTACTTTTGCCCATGTAGAGATAAGAGTAATTCAAAAGCTTTTATCAGGAAATAATTTTGTATAATTATTATTAAATATTATCTATAGATCACTTACTATTCTGTTTGTTTTAGTTTCACTGTTGAATATCACATTGAATCAAATGAATGCATCTAGTAATTTTGTTACAATTGATTAATATATTAAATTTAAAGTTATATACAAAGATAAATTTAGTTTATAACAAAAATAGTTTTTTATTTACAAAAAAATTTTTTTTATATAAATTTTTTTTATTTTATATATACACAAGTAATTTTTTTTATAACGAAAAAAGTTTTTTATAACAAAAATGATTTTTTATATACAAAAATATTTTTTTTATAACAAAAATAATTTTTTATGTAAAAAAATAATTTTTATATACAAAAATTTTTTTTTTGTAACAAAAATAAAAAAATTTATGTATAAAAATTTTTTTTAAAATTTATTTTAATTTCTAATCAGCAGATTTGTTATTTTCAGAGAGATTATGGATTGGGAAGATGACAGAAATTTAATTACTTGCCTTTTCTGTGAGAATAAGTTGGAAGATTTTGATGAAACTCTGCAACACATGAAAGTAATAAATGGGTTTGATTAAATTTTGTATCAGGGTTACCAAATGATATTATAGTTTTTTTTTCATGGTTTAATTACATTTTCTTTTATTTAACACTCTATTCAGGGATATACAACTCATGACCTTGTGGTCAAAAGCGCTTTTCAAAGTCTTTTGATTTGACTCCTGAATAGATTGAAATAGAAATTTTATAAAAAGTATTCGATAATTGTTTTTTAATCTAAAAATAATGTTTATAAGGCAGCTTAAAATTTTATATTCTGCTTTTGAAAAAATAAATGCATAAATAAAATACCACTAATTTTTTGGAATTGTATTATTTTTTAATGGTCATCTTGCTTTTTGTCTGGTTGCAAGCATGAACATGATTGTAGCTGTACTCTGTTATAGTAAATGATTTATCTAGTTCATCCTTTTTCAGAATATTCGATTGTAACCCTGTTGTCGATAACAATAAATTTAGTGTTTCCCATAAAATGTAATTCTTCAGAAATTATTGTAAATAATATAGAAATAAGGAAACAAATTTCACAAGTTTAATCACATTAATCTGATATTGTCTTAGTAACAAATTTTGTGTTCTGAACAATTACAGAAGTTTACTTTATATCCTAATAAACTGCTTTAACATTGTAAACTATGTTTCTTTAGATTTATATGAACTGTTTTGTTGTGTATATAAAAAAAAAAATTACGTACCACTTTTGGCACATTTTCATTGGTGCAACTTTCATCACATGTCAAAAACTCAAATATTCAAAGATTATTGTGCTCCGGAAAAAATCCGGATTTTTCTTTAACACCGCGATCCGGAGTTCCAAGGTTCTGAAGTTTCAAGCTATGTTTCATTGCAAGTTATATTAAGAAATTATATTGGCTAACAATATTTTTTATTTAAATTTAATTCCATTTTTTTTATTATTTATTTTTGATATTTTTTCCGAAAGACTTTCTCATTCTTTGTTGGCAGGCTGCCAGCTGTATCGACAGATCCGTCTTCAATTATTTTTTTTTAGTCGATAGAATATCGCTTAGCATTAACTTTCTCGTTTTCATTAGAATTTGCTTCCGCAGTCGATTTTTTTTATTAATTTGTTTATTTATACTATTACTAGTGGGTGCAAAGTTATGACTGCACCTCATAAATATTGAATCAAACATGGAATTTATTTGTTGATTAAGCTTACTTTATTCAGTTAAATAATAATTTTTTATTATTATTATTGAATTATTATTATTCTAGTTATGTGTTAAATAATAATAAGTGAAATTAGTGATAAAAGTAAACTTATACATAATTATTCATTCGTTTTATGTTTTGAAAATAGCAATGATTTAAATTTTTGCAAAGACATTAACTTTTTGTAATGCGCAATTAATGATTTTACTCAAGAAATTTTCAGGATTTTTTAGTTGGGCTCACAATCACCTCTGAATATTACAAAATAAATGTAAATCTGTAAATATAAAACAATTTATACCAACCTGTTATTTTACAAAGCTAAACACGACTTGTTATTTCTCTACTGCAAGTTTCATAAAAATATGGAATATATGAACAATTATTAACTACGGTAAACAGTTTTATGAAAAAATGCTATGTACATGGAATTTACTTTCTTATGATGCCTGTATCTTTTTTTTTTTTTTCAAAATACTTTGAAATTATATTCTTTAATCGTCGTTTTAGCAAATGAACTATAACAAAAAATTAACCCAAAATTAATTTAATTAATTATATTAAACCTTTTCTCATACAAGAAATTTACTTTATTAAATGCTCCAACAAAATACCTTTAAATGAAGTAAAACGCTTGATTCAAAACAAAACGCCTTTCATTAAAATTAAATTTTCACACTCAGACATGTTGTAAAAATTTCACATTTTGGTCAAACTTGCAAGTTTTTATCCTTATTCAATGATATTTTTTTTTTGCTCGGAAAATCTAGTATTTGACACTACAAATAAAATAAAAAATTTCTGAGGAAAAATTGCATGGTATCGATAAAAAATGGTCTGATTTTTCACTAAAATTTTCCTGACATACCTGGAAAAGTCAGGGATTTTTTTTCTGAAAATGCGTGCAAACCCTAATGTTTCCAAAAAAAAATTATTGTGTATTCCTATCTAATAATTAATAATTAGACTTTGAATTCAATTTTTTTTAACACTAATTCTCTGAATAACTACTTCCTTTTAACTAATCTTTCAATATTATTTTTTTAAAACCGAACAGCATGGAAAATCTCTTTATCAAATTTTATCACAAGTAGTGAGGGTTTAGTGTATTTAAATGTAAAATTTAGCTTATTTATCCTTAACATATTCTGCTGGTGTAAAGAACAAAAAAATAAATTTTTAGTTTATTTACAAAATTTTTCAGTTTCCATAAGTTCCGCTAGTTTATTTACAAAATTCTTCAGAGTTCCATAATTATTCATTAAATTCAAATTGTTGAATAATCATTACATCATTTCGAATTTTAAATCATTTTTATTGTTTTCAGTGAGTAGAATATAATCATGTTGATCAAAAGAATAGTGCAATGCGCGGATGATTAAAAAATGTATGTAAAAATTCTATGAAGAAAGAATATTTCTTGATATCATAAAACAAAGTTTCAAACGATTAAAACAATTTACAGACAAAATGAAAATATATTACTTGATACAGATAAAAACTTTCCCTAAAGAGTGCAAGAATGTTCCTCAAAACTTTCATTAAAATATATATGGGAATACCGCTTGCATTACTTAGTTTTACATTTAGGAAATTGTCTTTTAAGTTTTTTAAACACACTAACTAAACAAAAGGTTACCATTAAATATTGTACAATGCAGTATTGTACAGCATTTTACAATGCCATTGATCTGGTGGAAAATTAGATACTATGTAAGGAGCTAAAAGTGGAAAAAGTTAAGAATTTGCTTATTTTTACCAGGATTAAATTCAGGTGTATGTAATTAAATAAATAATCCCAAAAAACTGGAGAGGAAAGATATTACTTGTTTAAAAATTTCATTCACTTCGAAAATATAACCTGAATAATAGTCAAAATGTTTCAAGAGCTCAAGCATGAGCTCCATTATAAAGACTTAATTTTGTTTCTGCTCATTTATGTCTGGCAAGTCATGAACATGGGTGCCCGTTTTTCAGCCCTTGAAACATGTCGATTGTTAATTTCCGGTTTGTATGTTAATGAAGCGAAGAAGTTTTTAAGCAAGGTGTATGTAATATTTGAAATGTTCAAAAGAGAACATTGTTCATTAGAATTTTGAAGTTATCTTAGTGATTTGTTTTTTTAAAAAAAGGAATAAAATAGCAAATTATTTTGTTTTATTTTAGGATGAACACAGATTTGATTTTAGATTTCTCAAGCAAGCCTATCAATTAGATTTCTATAAACAAATTAAATTAATCAACTACATTCGCAAAAAGGTAAGCTCAACTTTTTTTTTTAATTTTCTTGAATTTAAAACTTAATTAAATTATTAAATGCATCCAAAATATTTCAGAATTTTCTTAAATCAATAAACTTTTTTTTAATGTTAAACTTAACTTTTTTTTTTAAAAACTAATTAATTTTTTTTAAAATTTCTATATATACGTAAAAATATTCATTATAATTATTATTTTTTATTATAATAAAATACTTTTGCAACTACATTCACATTTTTGTGTTAGTGTTTCCCATGTTAGCTAAGCTTCAAATTCGATAGTAGTATTTTATCATGTTCTCTTGTCTTCTGGATAAGGTTCAAAATTACAAGGCCACAGAGTTGAACATTGGTAGCTGTAAACTTAAAATTGGTTCGGCTGTTAATAAGTAAATTAATTGAGAAAATAAATAATGTAATTGAGGGCAAGGATAGCCTCATTGGTCTTGTGGTTGGGAAAACTGACTTTGAATCCAGCCGGCTGAAGAATCTATTATTAAATGATAACTGGTGCATGTTAAATCTGTCAGGGTCACAAAGTCCTTTAAGTTCCCATAAGAAATGAATATCTTTGGAGGCACAGATCCAGGAGTTTCCTTGTCTTCTGGATTGTGTTTAAAGTTACAAGGCTATGAAGTTGAACATTGATAGTCGTAAACTTGAATTTGGGTGGGCTGTTCAACAACAGTTATAAATAAAAAATGTAATTGAATAAAAGTAATTTAATATGAGCTTCTTGGCTAAAAAGGGGGTGTAATGGAATATTGCTTTTTTTTGTTTTAATTTTGAATTTGAGTGAGAATTTTCTCTTAAATCTATCAAACTATCTATACACATTTTTTTAGCTACTGATGGTAAGTGTATGGTGAAGAAATTTGAGAATTAATAGCAGAAGCTTTTTTTCATGTGTTATTTAGAGTAGGCCTTAGTATTTTATAGTAGTCATATTTTTGTTTATAATTCTAAATACTAAAATAGGATATGCAGATGACATAATTTTTTTTAACACAGGGATCACTATAGTAGGGTTCATTATATACCCCATGTAAAAATGATACTCTAAATATTTATAAACTGATAAAATACACACAGTCATGGAAAGAATTTTTAGAAAATTCATTATAGAAAATTTAAATTTGATCCATAATGGATCTTACAAAATTAAGTATTAAATAACAGTGAAAAATGTTTGAATAATATCATTGAAATAATTGTTCATTACATTTCTGATTTTATTGAGAAAATACAAGAATTAGAATAATGCAAGTCCTTCTCGCTCCCGTGAAAATGACGGGGTGAGGTTTCGCAATCTATTTCTCTCTCCCGTGATATTTCCAGACTGGAGTGTTCAGCAGTAACGCGCCAATAAGAATAAAACTAATTCATTTCTTTAGCCCAGAAAGCATTTTATTTTTCATTTTGCACACCAGATGACAGTACCAGGATATTTTTAAGATAATTGTTGACAACCATTAAGGGAATGCAAAGTTTGTTGTTCCAGAAGAGACGAACACAATAAGAGATGTAGGAAGGAAACTCCGTACTTCTGTCCAGATTGTGTTGTTGGCCTCTGAAAAATAGGGGCCAGCTTACTAAGTATAAGATATTGAAGACATCTATTACTAATCAAGAATTCACTTCATGGAAAACTGTGCAACTATATTTATTGAATATAAATCTTTAAATATAAAGTAAGAAAAACTACATTCAATTAAACTAAACATAACTCTTTAACATCACATAGCTCTCTCTAAACATAACAGAAGAGAAGAAACATCTTCTATCCAAAGCAAAGATATAACTGACTAAAAACAGAAACACCCACTTCCTTCTAGCTGAGATAACAGGAAGTGACCCAACTTCCCCTACGAAGTGACCCAACTTCCCACAGGAAGTGACACAGCCAAGAGGAAAATACTGCCCATCTATTTGTTTACATTTTCCAACATGTAACACAAGGGCGCCGGCAGCGGGGAGCAAGAGGGTGCACTTGTACTCCCTGGCTTTTTTTTTAAAACAATTAAATAGATACAGAAAAACGAATTCTCAACTCCGAAAACTCAATTTCCACAGAAGTAAGGAAGAGAGTAACTGCAGCCAACAAGTGATTTTATGGCATAAGAAAATTCCTTAAATCTGACAACACGAGACACCAAGTTGCTAATATATAAAAGCCTAATAAGATCAGTTCTCACTTACGCATCTGAAGCCTGGACCTTGTCCCAAGCTGATGAGAGGACCATCGCTGCTTTCGAGAGGAAGATACTCCGATCCATTTTTGGTGGTGTGTGTGACAAGGGAGTGTGGAGAGGGAGAACTAACTCTGAACTTTACAGGATATTCAGAGAACCGGACATTCTGAAGTACCATAAGGTCCAGCGCATGAAATGGGCCGGACACATTGTAAGAATGAACGATGACAGAACAACTAAAAGAATCTTTTTGGCAAGGCCAACTGGAGTTAGAAAGAGAGGCAGACCCCGACTGAGATGGGCGGATTGCCTCCAAAGGGACTTTACCATAATCAAGGTCAGAGACTGGAAAGCCGTGGCACACAGAAGAAAGGACTGGTGCAGTCTTCTTGAGAAAGCCAGGGTCCACCCAGGACTGTCGAGCTACTGATGATGATGAAAAACAAATTTGTTATGAAATTTTTTCATTAAAAACATTTTCATTCAAAAACAAAGAATTAAGTAATTATTGATACATAACAATTAAAAAATTGTTTAATCAAACAAGAATTGTAATCGTCTTGTTTTCTGTCCAAGTCTGTTTATAACTTTTTCAATGAATTCTGAGTCATCTTTGATTCTTTTCTTATGCACACTGAGCGCGCACAAACTTGGCAGATATCTAAGCTATATTTTTAATTTTCATTTAATAAAATATAAATAATATTATATTTTCTATTAGTTATTTAGTTTAACAAAGGTGTATGACACAAACTGACTTCTCACAACTGTAAAACTTCATCAGCACAATAAATACAAATGTTAAGCATGCACAAACACGCTAGTATACGAAACTACTGTTTGTAGTTATTTGTGTTTCAAAGTCAGTAGCTATGCCAGCGCCATCAATACAGTTTCTCGTGGCAAAATTTGCTAGTACAAGAAATTCATACTTTTTTTTTAAATATCTTGTTAACAATGAAGAAGTGTATCTTGAAAAAAATTAACAGATGAAAGTATATGTAATAACAGAATATTTAAAAAAAAAATTTTAGGGGTGGGGGGAGTTTGTTAGAGGGTTACACCCCCTTTTATATTATTCTGCCAGCTCCCTTGGTATCTCATGCTTTGAAATTTATCACTCGAGAAAAAATCACTAATCTTTATATTATATGTAAGTTTAATAAAATTCTCTTTTAATGTTTAAAACACATATTTTTTAAATTTTCCTTGCTTGCTGGAAAAATGTAATTTTTTTAAAATTTTTAGCTAAAAACAAATTAAAAAGGAATATATATATTGTTCATACACATATTTTTATGTATTTTTCAAGGATAAAAAAAAATAGGCACTTTTATGACCGTTTTCTTGAAAATTAACCAATTGTTAAAGGGTTAAGCTTCTAAACAGGGTTAAACATCTCTAACTGTAAGTCACGAATTATTTTGTTTACTTATTTAGATATAGATAATTGTTCTTTTGTTTTATTGCATAAATTTGACCTATTTTACGTCACATTTTTTTTCCAAATAAAAATGTGAGGAATTTCGAAAATAGCAGATAAATTAAAACTGCAAGTATAGTTTAATAGAAAGTGATATTAGTTGCCAAAATTTGATTTCATAATATGCAAATATAACTCAACAGTTATATTTGTATTTAACGTAATCAATTGATATAGTATATTAAGTTTTTTTATTATATGTACAAAAATGCTATCTTTCTACATTTAGTAGTATACATGTGTTAATTCATTTTATAATATGCATTTTTCTTATTGCATAATAATAATTTTCCCTCTTAGGTGTATGAAAAGGAATGTACATTTTGTGATTCAAAGTTTATTGTGCCTGAAGATTTGTTAGAGCACATGATGGAAACAGGACACATAGCGAATTTTCCTAATCCATCAAATTGGGATCAGCCAATGTAAGTGCAGCTAAATAGCTCATTTTCATAATTTTTTGAACTGTCAAATAAAATAGTTGAATATTTTAACACAGCATCTGTCAGCTGTTGTAAAATGTGTTGTTCCTTTTTCAGAAATCTATATTAAACGGAGATTTTTAAACAAAGCCCTTCCTAAAACTCTAAGAACAATTACATTATACTTTGGGACAATTGCCTTCTGGGTTTTTTCATATCCGATTGTGAAATTATATTATAAAAAGTAACAAGTATCATTCCAAGCTACTTTTCCTAAATTAAAAAAATACAAGACCAGCAGATTGATTTTTTTTTTGGCAATCATTAATCATTCAAAACTTTCGTAATAATTTTATTTAAAATTTCTGGTGCTATTTTTTATTTTTGTGCTCATATTCAAGATGGCTGCAGACTGATTAATCCTATTATTTTAATTCATCCAATTAATCAGTGTTTTGATCCATTTTCATTATATTAGATTTATCTTGAAATTTTAGTTATACTAACTAATACGAAATCAAATGAATAAATATACAACATCGAGAGAGGAAAGAGACCTGACTTTTCTGCAACCTTCGATTTTCGCCTGCCTATACTTTCTTATAAGTTGTGGAGTTGTATAGACAATGTCAACCTTCATCTATGAAGGAGTGCCCCACCATAGAATCGAGTTAACATGTCTTATACACTAGTGAATTGGAATTGTATTTTTGTAGCAGTAGACGCACGTCAGTACTCCCCCACCAGAATTTTATCTGTGATAGAATTCGATAAACGGGATACAACTAGTTGATTCATTGCTGTTTTGTGAGAAGCTGGGAGAGCTGTATTAAGATCAACATACTTTTGAGTCCTGATTGTGAGACCTGTATTAAGTTTACGGTCATGGTCACTCCTATGTTGCTATTAGCAGACATTGTGTGTGATAGTGTATACAAGCCAACATTGTATGTGAAGAGTAGCAACAGCATAAGGATGTGAATAATGTCACAGTCACAAATAGCAAGTGAACTGTTCAATGTGGTCCACCCATCTTAAGCGCGCTCAAATCAAAGTGAGAGTTTTTGTCAATGTAGGCATTTTCCCATCGCGTCCTGGTCACCAATTATGTTTGGCAAGTTGGGTTGGGTTGCGTGCATTAAATCCTGCATTTTAGATAAGTCAATCGTCAAAGATAGAAATGGAGAAATGCGAAATTTAAACATAACTTTAATAACATCTTAACAATTGAATTAAAAACATCCAGGATGATAATCAAACACTTAGGACAAAATAATAGACGTAAAAGCAAAGTGCAAAAAGAGTGAAAGAACAAAATTTTACGATGGTATCTATACATTTCATTCACTTGGAATTCAGTTCATTATACTTCGGGAATAAGATTACAAAGAATACATTGAAGATACATAGTAGTTTACTGGTTCCTCAGGTCAATAACTTTCGTACTTGAACCTAGTATGTTGATTGCACCACAAAGTGATCAGAAAACTAGTTAGGCCATTGGAGGCATCAAATATACTAAGTGAGGCCATTACTTTCCAGGACAGATACAATGAATTCTGAAAGTATTGTATAAATTGTTTGATGTTTTTAAAGTAATGTACTTCTGTTATCAATCATAAACATTCTAAAGCAGCAGTTAAATTCTTTTTTGTATTGTTCTTTAATTCTGACATTGGGTTTATTCTTCGTGACTTCAACATCCTTTAACCATATCCCTATAGCAATATTGTTAAGTTATAAAAAGTCTGCAAGAGATTTGGTCTAAGATTACGGTGACTGTTTGTTTTCCACGACCTCTGAAACCAAAAAACTTGCTAAAGTAAAGAAATGAAATTTAAGGATGTCAAAGTCATTAAGAAAAGCCCTAGGCCAGAATTGAAGAGAATTATGAAAGAGTGCTTCGGCAAAATTTTTTGAATCTTTTACATGGTGCGTAGCATTTTTAAAAAGTGCTTAAAGGTGCTTATTTATGATTTGCGTTTTTTAACAGGCTTTAAAGGTGCTATTTTTATTCGGGGTTGGTAAAAAGTGCTTAATTTTATATCTTTTAATATGAGATTTTTTCTTTACCGTATCGATTGTTGTTCTAAATTACAAATAAATGCATGATTTTCACAATTTTCTTTGCAATATTTAGCAAAAACTTGTTATTTTATCATGATTATGTGAAGTTTTTGAAAATGTTTCTAAATTTTATCAATTTTATGTTTATAAATTAAGAACTTCAAACGATAGGAAAAAAAAATTATTACTGCACAGATCCTAATTATGATTTTTTTTTTGGGTTTTTGGAAAGTGATTAAAAAAATCTTTTGAGGGCTTAAAAAGTATGTATTTTTTGTTGAAAAATCTGGCTACGCACCCTGTTTTACAGATAAATAAAACTCTAAAAGTTGCTCTAGAAACTTTTGCAGAATTGCATTACATACGGTGCAGGCCATTTTGAAACTTATTAAATGTTTATGAAATTAACATTTTCTCATTTATTAAATCAGTACAAGAAATTAATTACTGCCCCTTTTCAAACTTAAACTGACAACACTGAACATAGAATATGTAATATTAGTTATAAGTCAATGATTATCTTATGAGCTTTTTACCTCACCTGCTCCTTCAGTAAATAAAGAGTTGCCATATAACTTTTTTAATGAATTAAATTGAACTAACTTAATTCTAGTTCAATTAAAGATCATCAAAAATGTTAACGAGTCTATTAACCTATAAGAACTATTTTCCTTTCAGGTACTTTTTCCCAACTTTTGAAAATGATAATTTGCTCTGTGCTCTCGATGCTGACGATGTAGATAGTCCAGATTGTATTGTAGTCCCTGAAGATACAACTGTTCCAAACAATAATGTACTTGCCGAATGAAAGAACTATAAGAAATTGAAGAACTTTATTTGAATGGATGAAAGAACATTGAAGGTGTCCTTCGTCAAGTTCTTTCACTGAGGAAAATAAAAAAATTCTCAGCTTGAAGTAACTTAAATCTATGCAAGGTTTTAATTTCATGCTCTAACTTCTTTAAAATAACTATTTTCTGTACTTTAAAAAAAGACCTAATTGCTCAAATATTTGAAAAAATATTAAACTTTTTAAAAAATTTCCAATTTAATAAGATTGAAGAAAATTGTTAAAATCAATGAAAAATAGAGTTGGCATGGTTTAGGACAGAATGTATTACCATGGTTTAAACCGTCCTGTTCCCTTTGTCCAAAACTGTCTTAAACTGTCCAAGACCTATTCACTCAAATTATGTTACAGTAAAAAAAATTGACGGGAAAAAATTTAATTTTTGAACAAGAAACAAAATGAAGACAAGTTTTCGTTTTATTTAAAAAAACTTAATTATTTTTTTAACATTGCATTATTAATCCTTATGCAAAAACATAATTTATAAGTATTAAAAGCATATTTAAGGGATAAGGTATTCACTTTTGTTGTTCAATGAATTGTGGAGCTTCAAAAGTTACAAGTCTTTTCCTATTATATATTATTTTCCTTTAATAAGTTAAAACAAATTGTATAAAAAGTATCAAATATTTATTAATATATGTAATTATTGTGTGTACAATGGTTACACATATAGAATTTTTACCTTTTACCAATGTTTAATGTTTTGGACACTTTAAGACAGTATATGACAGTTTTAGTCAGTTTAGGACAGAGGAGAGTTTAAGATAGTAAAACCCAAATACCCTGTCCAAAACCAGTTTAGGACGTCAAAAACCTCAACCCTGATGAAAATGTTTTAATTTTCGCACATACTTATGATCTGAAACAATGCTGTGTTAGTTCTTTTTCTTTTTATAAAGCTCTGACATTTTCTTCATGTTATTATTTTGCACCATTTTCATGATTAGCATTGAGACCTTTCGCTGAACATGATCGAAATTTTGCCTAACAGCCAAGAATAACTCTTTCAAACTCACCACTTATAAAAAATAGCATATTATTTGCTAAAATGTTTTACATCATATGATGACGGAGTCTTCAAAGAACAGCCATAAATGATAGAATTTGATTTTTGGAAATTGTTATAAATTAATAATTATTTTGGAAATTGTTATAATTGGCAATTATTATAAAATCCTGTATAATTTTAAACCAAAACGTGTTAATTGAATGCGATATATTTTTATACAATGTAAAAAGTTTCTTTTAATTAGGTATTCAATTAGACTCTTTTCTTTGTTTTGTCCAGAGTATTTTTGCTTCTATTACTTATATTATTTGCTCCTATATGTTCTTAATTTATTTGTGAAGCTTCTATTAAATTATGTTGAATAAACTGTTGATGTTATCAGCAATTGTTATTATTGATTACAATAATTAATAAATTTATTTTAAAATTATTTAAACTTGCTATCATAATTTTTTTAGTAAGAAACGTCTTTTATTACCTAATACAACTTTGAATGAATGATCAATATACTAGCATTAGAACTAATAACTTTAGATGATCATTGATTTCCAGCAGACAAGAAAGCATTCAGAAACTGCTTTGCCGTTTTGATTTTGTACTCATAGATTATGACTCTTTGTAAGTTGTGCAATTCAATGCAACTCAAGGTTGTGCAATTTCCCCTCTCTGTTACCATGGTTTCAGAAAGTCTTGCTTTTTCCCCATACAAGTATATTCCAACTCTTTACTGAAATGTACTGCCGTGATTGATGGTATTTGAACTGCAGGGAAATGGGCGAGTATTTCTTCTTTTTTTTTTAAATCCTCTTTTTGTTCCAACTTTTTTCACATCCTAAGAAATGCAATTTAAAAATATTTCAATAAAAATAATAAAAAAATTATAAAGTTTTTATGCTTGGTCGAGAATGGGTTAATTTTGGTGTTCTACCGGAAACTCTGTCTTAATGATCTGTGGGATATAATTATTTTATTAATAGGAAATAGGAGAAAATCCACTGAAATAGTTACAATTGCTAAATAGGGTAAATTATTTTATACTAGTCAGGCTTTGGCAAAAATAAAATAAATAGGACATTACACTAAAGAATAAAAAAACTTTTTGACATGGTTCATGGTTTACTTTGTTCAGATTTGTCATTTCGAATCGCTTAGTTAGTCTCTTTATCATGTGATTTTTAAACAAATGTAGTCAACAATTTAATAATTATAAAATTGTTAAAGATTATGAATTTAAGGACCATTATAGAAAGCAACTTCTCATAATTTACTTCTCATTGTAGTTTAATTTATAAATCATTGAAACTTTTATTAGAAACTTTTTATTAGTTATCTATTATTGGCATATATCTGACATTATTAATTAATTTTTTTAAAAAGAATATTGGATCTTACTTTCCTATTCTAAAATATTTTCTATTAAATATATATATATATATTAAATTTTCCATTTTTGGGTCTTAATGACTATAACCGTTGAAAGATACGGTTACATACAATGCAGTTTTAGAGGCCATTCACTAATATACACAGCATATCTATGCACCTGAAAAGTCATTAGAAATCATGGAAAGTCATAGATTTCGGTATTGAACAAAATTTGAATGTCAAGATTTTAACTATTTTTAAAAAAAAAATCATGGAAAGTCATGGATTTAGGTTGCATAAAAATCTAATTTTTAAAATGGAATTATTATTTAATGGTGTTCGGAATATCTGAATTTGTAACAAAATCCACGGTCATATTTTATTAAAATATAAAATGTTTTATCATGTTCTTTAAAAATTATGGTTTTGTTACAAAAAATGAAAGAAGAAATATCATTTCTGGAGCGAATTATCTTTTAAACAATTGTTATTTCAGAATTTTTGTTATTATTTATTTTTTTATCAATTACAAATTCTAGCTGAAGCAAGCCAGTCATTGCCGAATTTTTTTTATTCCACAATGAGAACAGAAAAATCACGAGTATTTCTTTCCTTTCCGGCGAATGAAAAAAATATCTTTAAGATATAATTCTGCAGAAAAAAAGAAAATTATTTTTATTTGCTTTTTTATTTTTTTCAGCTATTTTATTGCTTCTACTCTTTCTTTACTCTGTTTTTTAAATTTGAAATCTATAAATATGAAGATGCAAGTATATAACAGTTTTGGTTATACCTATCATTTCAATTAAATGTTGTTATAATGCTTTTTTAAATTTATTGTTGTGTTTTTCTCGGAGAAAATAGTAACTTCGTTAAGTCATGAGAAATTCTTGGAATCGGTCATGAATTTGAAAATCTAAAATGTAACAGATGCCCTGTATACATTTATAATCTCATTTAGGTTTCTTTTATTTAGTTATCAACAGTTCTTTTATTTAGTTATCAACAGTTCTTTTATTTAGTTATCAACAGTTCTTTCATTTCTTCTATTTAGTTATCAGTGTCAACAATAATCTTTATCTTATAAATGTTTTTAAGCATAAATTTTAAGTATAACACATCCAATAACTTTTTGTTTTTAAATATTATACATTATTTTTTTTTTAAAAAAATCTTATTGTTATTAACTATAAATAATCTCTATGCCATTTACATAATTTTTATTTTTGTAATAGATTCGTGTGATAACTAATAAGTTTCAGTTTTTTCTTGACTTAGTTGGCTGTAAAGCTGAGATATTCTTCATTAAAGGGTGATTTAAAATTTAAATCTTAATTCAAAAAATTATGTTGAACATGTAATTTGTTTAACTATTTGTGTAATATTTTTGTATCTAAATTAATATCTTGATGTTGAGTTTTTGTATAGAAAATTTTCAAGGATTTTCACTTGGTGTTTTAGTTCACAAAATTGATGAGGAGGCATTTCTGATGCTTGATAGAGAAATTTTAATGGAGAAGAATTACTGCTTTAGTGCCCAAAATCAGACCCAGTCTTAAATTAGAAAAAAAAATCTGGCTAACCGTCAGGCTAATGGTGGGTGGTTTTCCTCTCCATGTAACGCAAAAGCGGGTTAGTTCCATCAAAAAGTCAATTTCTCCCAATACTTGATCCAGAAGTTTCTGTGTCTTCCGGATTGGGTCCAAAATTAAAAGGCTACATCAACCATCAATAAACAACACCAGGCCAGGTTTTTTGGAAGAGCTCAGCTGTGCCGTAAATGTCAGCTTGTTGAGGATTGGGAACATATATTAATCCATTGTAAAAATTATAAGCACATTAGAGAGAATTTTTTTCATTCAAAAACAACCTATGAGTTTATACTGCAGCATTGGTCAAACCCTAAAATAAAAAAGGGAATTGAGGAAACAATAACAAAATTGTTTAGTAACAAGGCACCTCCCTGAATCCTGATGGTCTCTTGCTGCCTATTGTTAAGAAAGATAAAACACGGCTTATTGATTTACCTGTTATGGTTTGATTTTTACTTGAATTTTCTCTTAAAATGTTTCTTGCGCTTTAATTTCATGATTTTGTCAATCTCTGCCCCTATGTGATTCCTCATTTTGAAAATTTTAATCACTTGTGTTCCTAGAGTATGTATATATGTCTTTTTGTTTAAAAAAAAATCCTGGAATTTGATACCTTTAGTACTGTTGTACCAGCTGTAATTATATTCTGGGTTACAAACATCCCATATTTTACCATGTGAATTTGTTTCCTTTTATTAACTTTGCACCCCTACTGAAGATGCGACATCAATATCTCTTCTTATTGTTACTGTTTATTTTCTTTGTAATGTTTGTTTTCATTTAGTTTATTTCTAAGTAGCACTGTTTTCTGGTTTTCATTTTTAATATTCTACCTATTTGTTAAAACTCTAATTTAAAAATTTTGAATATGTTTGCTTATGTAATTGAAATGTTGCGCTCACCTCAAACTTTCGGAGTGTCCCCAGATGACCCCTCATGGGGGCGGGACGGGGATAAACTTGTTATTAATAGGCGTAAACCCAAAATTGGGTCTTCTGTTCAACTACCGTTATGTAGACAGGAATATGCATCGACTGGATTACAGACATTAATGCAGTGTCTGAAGAAATTCAAGACTTATATGAAAAAGTGTCATC